ATGTGAATGATATTTTCTCTCAATTTATCTCTCTCTCTCTCTCTCTCTCTCTCTCTCTCTCTCTCTCTCTCGATACTGTCGAGTTTATAACATGTAAATCGATTGATTCTAATCATCATAATCAATGGATGATTCCCAAAGAAAAAACAAAACAAATGGATCGTAAATTGAGTTCTGGTGGTGAAAAACAAAAATCAATCATTAATCATTCCATTGGATCCAGTGAAAAAAAAGACAAGCAAAAAAAATGGAAAATAGGAAATGAATGTGAGAAACAAAATTAGCAATTTTTGGTTCCTTTCAACAACGGAATGTGATCGTTTTTTTTGTGGAAAGGAAATGAATGCAACAGTAACCAAAAAGAAGAAAAAAAAATTTCACCATTTTCTTTTATCGCCTTTTAAAAATTCAAATTTATTGTTGATGATGATAATGGTAATATTCATTAGTAATTCGATTATTGATTAAATAATGGAAAAAAAAGTGTTCATCATTCATTTATTTGTTCGGAATTTGATATTTATTTTCATCATTAAAATCATTATTGCACAATTAGAATTGAAAATGGAAAATTTTTTGTTCAATGTTCAATGAACATACAGTTTTCATTGAATGATCAGTTGATTTAGCAAGTACTGAAAAAATACAAAACAAAATTATACTTTTAGATGGATGGATGGAAAATTTGTTTTCCTCTTCATCATTATTATTAGCATCGTTTGGTTGTGTTTTTGTTTTTGTTTTTTTTTTTGGAATGAATCAAAGAATGATGTGCAAATAGACAGAAACAGTATGATATAATCAGAAATCAAAATGGAATGATCCAATGGAGTGACACTAGAGAGAGAGAGCGAGAGATAAATTGAGAGAAAATATATTCACATTTGACAAAATATCATTCACTATATCAACAGAATCAGCATTAGAAAAAAAAATAAAAATCGAAACCAGAAATACGAATGGAAATGAACTTTTCAATAGAGAGTGATAGTCTCATGGAACATATTTTTTTGTTTTGTTTTTTCCATTTCCAAAATAAAATTTATTAATTTCAATTCATAAGTTTGACGAATGAGTGAAATGAGAAAACGACAATAAACTGAAAAATTTTTGATTCATCAACCTCAAAAAAAAACCTTAACAACAATCATCATTATAAGGAAATCTATTTTTCTTCGTTTTCGTTCCATTTTGTTTTCGCCCAATTTTTTTTTTTTTGAACAAAAAACAGGAGAAAAAAAAATCTTGTTTGATTATAATGTTGATGATCATCATCATTATCATTAAATAACAGTTGGGCTGTACAACATTGTTCAAAAAAGTCAAAATGAAAAGAAAAGAAAAGAATTTACCGGTGTAACTCACAACTGAATATATATGAAATGAAATGAATGAAAAGAATATTCTGGTTGTCAATTTTTGCTGTTGTTGTTATTGTTGGCTGTTTTTTTTTTCATTATCATTATGTCAATACAAAATATCTTTATGGTGAATAATCAATTCATTGATTGATTAAAAATTGAATGAATGAATTTTTTTGTTTTTTTAAAAAAATCTCCCATTCATGTCAATGCGTGTGTGTGTGTGTATTGTTGAAGAAAATTGAAATTTTAATTAAAAGTTTTTTTTTTATAACAACGATACCAACGTCATTCATTCATTCATTCATTCATTCATTGACTGAATGACAATAGAGNGAGAGAGGGAGAGAGAGAGAGAGAGAGAGAGAGAGAGAGAGAGAGAGAGAGAGATAAATTGAGAGAAAATATCATTCACATTTGACAAAATATCGTTCACAATATCAACAGAAGAAGCAAAAATAAGAATCGAAACCAGAAATACGAATGGAAATGAACTTTTCAATAGAGAGTGAGAGTGTCATGGAACATATTTTTTGTTTTTGTTTTTCCATTTCCACAAAAAATTCATTAATTTCAATTCATAAGTTTGACGAATGAGTGAAATGGAAAAACGACAATAAACTGTGAAAAATTTTGGATTTATCAACCTAAAAAAAAACCTTAACAATCATCATTATAAGGAAATCTTGTTTTCGTTTTTGTTACATTTCGTTTTCGCCCAAAAAACAGGAGAAAAAAATCTTGTTTGATTATAATGATGATGATCATTATCATTAAATAATAGTTGGGCTGTACAGCATTGAAAAAAAGTCAAAAAAAAAGAATTTACCGGTTCAATCTCACAACTGAATATATGAAATGAATGAAAAGAATATTCTGGTTGTCAATTTTTCTGCTATTGTTATTGTTGGCTGTTTTTCATTATGTCAATACAAAATATCTTTATGGTGAATAATCAATTCATTGATTGATTAAAATTGAATGAATGAGTTTGGTTTATTCATGTCTATGTGTGTATTGTTGATGAAAATTAAAATTTTAATTAAAAGTTTCAACGATACCAACGTCATTCATTCATTCATTCATTCATTCATTGACTGAATGACAATAGAGAATCTGAGTTGGATGAAAAAAAAATTCCCATCCTTTTTTTTGTTCCGTTACATTCACCGCTTAATCATAATAATAATAATAATCAAATAACGAAAGCAAAAAAATTCAAACACTTTTCCATTCACTCGCTTTTTTCATTCGTGCCAGGATTCTTTTCCCCTTTTTTTTGTATTTGGATAGTGATGAAAAAAAAGTAGAAAAAAAAATAAATTTATGAAAAATATTCCGGGCCAAAACACAATGAGAATTTTTTTTCTCTTTTTCTTTTGATCAAGAAACAAGAGAGTGCAAAAGGCATAGAGAGGCAACAACAACAAAGAAAATGATAATATCATTATCATCATCATTCATAAATTATAATAATGATAATAACAGAAACCGAAACTTACGAAAGAAAGAAAAAAAACGAATACCCGAAGAAAATCCTATTGTGTGTGTGTGTTTGTGGCTTTTTTCGGCTCTCTTTCTTTTTCACTCTTTTTCTCTTGTATGTTTCACTCAAACAAAACATGATTATTATTATTATTATTATTATTATTATCATAATCTGAGATATGATCCCATCAACCATAATATTGTAAAAGAATAAATGGTTAAAGAATCATGACAGAATAAAGGAAAATTGAATTGAATTGAATGTGAAGAAGAATCTTTTTTTCTTTTTTTCTTTTGATTATTTACCGTTTTGCTTTACTTTTTTCTTTCATTATTGTCAAGTGTGTTTTGTTTAATTTCAAATCTTTTTTGTTGTTGTTGTTATTTACAACCATTGTTCCATTTATTTAGTAAAAGTAAAAAAAATATCATAATCAATGAAAAATTGAAGAAAAAAAATCAAATTTCGTTCGCGGTTTCCATTTACCAAAGATTTTTTCTCATCTTCTTCGAAAAAAATGAAGTTTTCAGCTCCACTCTTACTATTATTATTTGAAGAACCAAAAAAGGAAAACATCATATGATGATGATAGTTTGTAAATGGATAGTGTGTGTGTGTTGCTGTTTATTTTATTAAAATATTATAATTTTCATAGTTATAATTATAATTATAATCATATTTGAAATGTGTCTGTTATTATGATTGTCAACAGAAAAAAAAGGGGTTTTTCACATTTATTATTCTTTCATATCATATCATTTTTTTCACAAAGGAAATTTCAACTCAACTAGCGAGAAAGAGAAAAAAAACTATAATGACACACCAAGAATCCATTTGATGATGATGATAAAATTTCATCATCATATCAACCATATTAAATTACAATTTACAATTATTATCAAACATAAAAATTATGTAAATGTTGACATAGGTTTGATAATAATCATAATAATAATAATAATGATGGTGTTTGGTAAATTCTACACACTTTTAAACATGAGAATCAATTTCATTTTTTAAATAACAAAATTATAATAATTAAGATGACAGTTTGATGATGATGATAATGATGATGAAATGTAAATGAATATTTTTATTTTCATTATAATTTTCTTTTCAAAATATTCAAATATTCATTCGAAAATGATGTTGACAATATTTGCAATATTGTGCAATTTCATTGAATGTCAAGAAAAATCTTTCTGGTATATTTTCTCCATTTCTCCAAAAAAATTGATGATCCGTTATTTGAATATGTGTGTGTGTGTCTGTGTGTGTACGTTTGATAAATGTCCATAATAAATGAAAGAAAACTTAAACCGGAAAAGAATACGTGAAAACTGTGAATACCCGTACGAAACCAAAAACAAAACAAAACAAACAGTCGGTATCGAATGTCACGTTTTTTGATTTTGTTTTTGTTTTTCTCTCGAAATAAATGAGATCTGAACGAGAAAAAAAAGTTTTATTGATGATATTTATGTTTGTGTGTGTGTGTGCGATGATTATTTTTTTATTTTTTATTTTGGTTTTGGTTTCAGAAATTCTGGAATTAACAATGGATAACTGGCCTGTCACATGTCTAAATGAAATATTCTTTTTTTTCTTCTTGTTGTTTTTTCATTGAATCTCTGAATTCTCTGTTTTTTTTCTTTCATTCATTCCCGATAAATGATATTCGGTATATGGAAAAAAACCCCGAAAAAAATGAATGAATGACCATGGTGTATTTGTTTTCTCCATTCAAGTCCTGGATTCACATTTATTTATTTTTCCTTTTTTTCCCTTCAGTTTGGCATTTTCAAACGACCAGAAATGAAAGAAACCATAGAAGAAACAAAAAAATGTTTAGTTTGATTAAAATTAATTTCATTTCATTTCTTATTCTTTCTGCAAAAAAAAAAATAAACACCATAACCGTTTCGGTTGGTTTCATTTTCCTCTCCCGGAATTATCATCATCACTACCGTTTGTTTTGTATGTTTGTTTGGGTTTTTTGTTTTGTTTCACCTTCATCATCAAGATAATCGACATTCAATAATGTATTGGGTTGAGAATTTTTTCTTCTTTTTGTTGTTCCTTTTTTCCTGGCCATAATAAATGACCATAGTGTAATGTGTAATGTGTTTCCGTTCGAATAAAGGTTAAATAGCAATATAAATTTTTCATTGTATTAGAAACATAGAAAGTAACAGAAAAACAAAAAACAAACTTATGAACATTTAACATGAAAATGTCATAATCCTTATTGCCTAGAATGATTTAAACGATCATTTTCTATCTTTATGTGTTTTATGTGTGTGTGTGTGTGTGCGTATCATTTTTCACAAACAAAATTTTTGTGAAAAAAAACCCAGAATAAATGAAAGAATTTTTCACATTTTTTTATCACGATATTTATCGATCACGTTATTTATGAATTTCTATAGTTGTAGAAAAAACAACAAAAATATTACAAATGAACTTTTTTTTATCATTTTTTTGAGATACACCTACATTAAATTATTACATTTGAGATTACGTTTTGCATGTATAAAAGTCATTATTAAAGATTGAATATTGATAATTTTTTTTCCATTCATTTCCTATGTAATTACAATCAATTATTATCGGGAAGAAATTTAAATATTCTTTGTATTTATTTTTTCATTCATTTTATTTTATTTTATTTTAGGTTTGTTCAGTAGTTGGTCGTGCTGAATTATTATCCGCTATATTTTATCTATCATCAATATTATTATGGAATTTAAATCCATTTATAAATATTGATAATAATAATGATGAAAATGTAAAACATAAATCACAATTTATAAGGTGGTCATCATTATTACAATTGTTTATTAATAAATATCATCGATTATTATCAATATTAATGGCTTTATTTGGTTTTTTATGTAAAGAACAAGCAATATTTGTATTGTTATATTTAGCTATTAATCATTTATTCATCAATAATAATAATAATAATAATAATAATCATTATTATGATCATGATAATAACAAGATAATTGAACAACAACAACAACAACAACAACAACGTCGACAATATCGTCATCAACAACAACAACATCGACGACGATATCGATCCATTTTCACGTCATCATCATCATCATTATCATCATCAATAAACTATGGGTCATCATCATCATTATCAATGTTGATCATTATGATTAGATCAAAATTACAAACAATAATCATATTAGCTACTGTATTTATTGGAACAATTTATATACGTTTTTTAATGATGGGCTATTCTTTGCCAATATTTAACAGGTAAAATATTTATTTAATTCAATTCTCGTTTTCTTAAACATTTTACAACATTTTAAACTAAAACAAACAATCGAAAAAGTAAAAAAGACAGTTAAGAGAGAGAAATTTTAAATTTAAAACTTGAAATTCTTTAATTATATACTTTAAAAAAATGTGTTTCTCATAAAGGTTTTCTCTTTCTAGTCAGTTAGTGAAAACTAAAATGATAAGTGTGAAAGGAAAGGAAAAAAATAACTAATGATAAGAATGAAAAAAAAATGTCAAATATAAAACAAAATGATAAAGAATCCTGGTAATTTTCTTCTCTTTTTCGAATGAAATTCTTCCAAAAAAGAAATGTGATATCAGTGGAAACAAAACAAACCCAAAAAAAATTCTTACTTTCATTTCAAAAAAAACAAGAATAATAAATTAGAATAAAACACCCTCATGCTCTCTCCCATTCTAAATACTGAATACTATAGGAATATTCCCAATTGAGAACGATTCGTGATGCGAATAGAATTTTATTCATTCATTCATTCTGATATATATCAAGTGTTTTTATCTTCAATCATTTTCATCATCATTATCATCTTCTTCGCCGTCGTCGTTCTGTATTCAAGTAAAACAAATTTTTTTTCTCGTAGATACCATTGCCATGCACATTTTATAAATGAAACATCAATTAAATTTAAAAATGTTTTATTTGTTGTTGTTATTTTTTTTATATTTGCTGTCTATTTTGGTTATCAAAGAGATTGTCAAAGAAAGAAAGAAAAATTATGTAGAAATGGAAAGTTTCATTTCAGAAAATTCAATTTTTTTCCAAAAATTATCCGGTTTCAAAGAAAATTCCAAATACTGTGCAGCCATATGTCTAATGATGGTTTTTTTTCTCTACCGATTTCGGCGTCAGAAACCAAGAATAAAAATAAGGTCATCCGGCAGGGAAACCAGATTCTCATTTTTTTTGCAAGCTTTTTTTTTGTATGATATACCAAGATAAATGGAAAAATAATGATTAAAATAGGCACCACAACGGAAGAAAAAAACCATATGCATTACACAATTTTTTGTTGTTGATAAATCAAAAATAAATTGGATCAAAACGACAACGAAATCTAACGAATATCATTTACCAAGTGAAAGAAAGAAAAAAAATATTGACCATTTTTCTTCGTTTTATATGTTCATATAACATTCATTTATTCAAATCTCGTTTACACACATTCAACTGAATTTTTTTGTTTTGTTTTCATCGTATTGAATTATTACTTTTTTATGATAATTTTACATTATCATTTTCCCCTTTTCAATTTTTTTCGTTGTTTTCCATTCAGTTTATGGAGCTTTTTCCATTCTATAGAATATTTTGTCTCATACATTTATCTTATTCACAAATTTTCGTTCGGCTTTACTTTTTCCTATCTATATAACATGTATTTATCATTTTTTTGTTGAAAGTTTTCAATTCCTAATTTTTTTCATCATTTTTTCTAATTCAAAACCGACCTTTTTTTCCCTCTCTTTGGAAAAGATTTGATAATCCAGCATCCAGAATGCAATGGCCAAGTCGTCATCTAACATATGGTTATCTAATATTATATCATTATTGGATGATGTTTTATCCACAATTTTTAAGCTGTGATTGGACACATTCATCATTAAATCTTATTGATTATCAATCGATCAATAATAATCCTTTGAATATTAATAATAATAATATTAATATTACAAACACCTTTGATTATAATGATAATGATTATCCAAATATTTATTATCGTACAATATTGGTTATTGTTTGTTTTATTATCATTAAAATTACCATTTATAAATGGATTCTATTTATATTACGACAACAACAACAACAACAACAACAGCATCAACAACAACAGCAACAACAACAACGACTACGACAACAAAGAAATCGATATAAAAATCGTAATGTCTTGAAGGCATATCAAATCATTGATGATAATGATGATAATGATGAAAATAATAATGGTGGTGGATATTGTAATCACTTTTACTGTAATAATAATAATGATAATATTATTGATCAAAATTTGAAATTGAAAACAAAATCAAAAACAACAACAGTGATGATGATGATAAGAATGATGATGACATTTCCGAACAATATTAACCAATTTGATCAACATCAATCGATTATTATAATGATGATAAAAATATTATTATCATTATCATTAACAATAATACCATTCATACCCGTATCAAATATTTTATTTCCGGTTGGATTTATTATAGCTGAACGTATACTTTATTTACCATCCATTGGTTTTATATTATTATTCGGTTTTGGTATCGATTATTTATCATTATTATTTTCAGATAATAATAATAATAATAATAATAATAATACATTATCATCATTGTTGTCATCATTATTGTAAGTATATTAAGTTGAAATAAGTTGAAAAATTCTGGTAAAGAAATGAATGAATGAAAAGAAAAGAAAAGAAAAGATTCTGGATGGATTTATTTATTCCGAAAGAATTTTTTTTATTCTCCTTTCGATTCTTTCGATATTTTTCTTTCTTTTTTACTTACTTTATTTCTTTGAAAGATTCATTTCTTCAGATGAATTCATTCATTCATTCATTCATTTTTTCTCCCTATTTTTTTTTTGTTTTGCCAAACGAATCATTTCTCATTTCTTGTTTCGTTTCTAAATTTTGTTTTTTTTTCAATATTTTTTTCTCTCTCCTTATTCTTCAATAATAAATCACCGCCACCACCATCATCATCATCATTGTGGAACCTTTATGTTTTTTTTAAACAAAATGTTTTCGAATGGGATGAAAAATTTTTCCTGAACTTTCTGAAATCAAATGGAAATAATAGTAGTTTGTTACGACGACGACGACTACGACGAACATCATCAACAAAATGTGACCACCACCACCACCCCCACCATAATAATATCGTTGTTGGAACTTTGGATTGTCAATATTGTCATAAATCTTCAGCTATAAATGGTGATGATGATAGTTGGCAACCTACTACTACTACTACACATTCTGGTTATTATTCGTGTACGAATAACCCGAGAAATCGACATTGGAAATTTCATCCAATTCGTATGGCAACCATAATGTTAATCATAATATTTTCGGCAAAAACATTTTTACGTTCATATGATTGGTATGTTTATTTGGTGTGTGGTCACAATTGGACTGATTAATTGATCAATTTTTTTTTCTCTCCCTCTCATTTTTATTCATTAATTTTCATTTTGGAAAATTTGTTTTCTCTATATATTTTTTCCCCACAAAAATTTCGATTCCATTATTATTATTCTCGATTCTATCAAATTCATTAATTAGGACAAATGAATTTGTTCTCTATGAATCCGGTCTCAAAGTTAATCCACGTAATATAAAACTATTGAATAATTTAGGACGTTTATATGAAACAACAATAACAACAACTAAAACAAAAACAAAATCGAATTCCATTGAAATAGCTATCGAATTGTATAGAAAAGCGATTAGGTAAGCAAAAAAGAAAATTGAACAAAATTCATTTGTTTTATTTTTATCCAATTATTTTAATGAATCAATTTAATTTGATTACAATTAATTTTAATAAAATGATTATTATTATAGTATTGAACCAACAGATTTACGTAGCTATCTAAATCTTGGTAATGTTTATCATAAACATTTTAATGATACTCGAATGGCCGAACAAATCTATCGAAATGCATTGAAACAATTTGATCAATATCAACAAAATCAACAATCATTGATTGAAATTGATAATCGATTATCATTATCACCATTATATTTAACATTATTAATACGTTTAACAGAATTATTATCAATTGATTCAACAAGACAAAATGATTTGAAAATAATACAGGATAAATTGATTGAAACACAATTTCTATTAGATCCAATAACAATATTAACGACATCTTGTGATCATGAATGTAATCGTAATCATCATCATCATCGTACGGATGATGTATTATCATCGATCCAATTGGATCAATTATATAATGTAAGTAGTATGATTATAATCGTATGATTGTTTTTTTTATTGGAATTCCCAGATTGATTTTCTTATTTCTATTTTTTTGTTCTTGTTTCTATTTTTTTTCACCGGACATATCAAACAAACAAACAAACACAGTTAGGTGTGGTACATTATCAACAAGGCCGAATAAAAGAAGCATTCAATTATTTTGAACGTATATTATCAATGAATCCAAATCATGTGGATACATTGCTGACATCAGCACGTATTATACAGGATGAACATTTAGATCAACTAAAACATATTGCCTATGATCGTTTAGAACATTTAATACGACTTGGAAAAGATGATGAATCTATATATTTTAATCTGGCTACATTGGCAATCAATAATAGAAATTTTAATCGTGCAAAACGTTTATTTAAAAAAGCTATTGCAAAACGTGAATCATTTGCTGAAGCACACTATAATTTAGCTTTATTATTAGTTAAGGAGATGGATCCAACGCCCAATAATCTTGGTCAACAACAACAACAACAACAACAATCAATGTTAACAAATTCAGCACAATTACGAGAAGCAATCGATCATCTTCAACGAGTTTTGCTGATCAATCCAAAACATATAAATTCAATGTTTATTTTAGCCGAATTATATGCTGAAGAATTACAACAATTAGATCGTGCTAGATATTATTATCAATTGATTTTGGATCATATCGATCCAAATAATATACAAGCTAAACATAATCTTTGTGTATTATGGCATAAACAAAATAATATCGATAAATCGATTCATTGTTTTGAAGATTTATTACAATATTTATCATCATCATCATCATCAATAAACGATAAATCATCGATAAATTATTGGCAAATCATACAGGAACAGATTACATATCTATGGAAAATTAAAAATTTTAATCAAACCAAAACCAAATCTATCGAATCTTTAGTCAATAATAATATTAATAATACTGATTATGATGATAATAATAATGATGATGAATATCGAATGGATCAACAATGTCAAAATGTATCTGATTTAGAAATGTTACGTAACCACTATCATCATCATTATGGAAATTATTACATGACCAAAATGTGCTTTATTTAATTTGCAAACAAAAAAAAATGAAAATGATTCTCTAAAACCAAAGCCTTTTATCTATTTTTTAAATTAAAAATTTTATTTATTTATTTATTGATCTCATCAAAATGATATTTTTGTATTAAAAAAAAATGAAAATTATTTTCAAAAGCAAATTCAAATGTGATTTTATGATTAAATAAGTTTGTGTTTAAAATTGTTGTTGTTTATTTTTGTTTTGATTTTTTTTTAAATTGCAAATGATAATCATTCGGGAGATTATTCAGTTCTTTGGCAAAATTCAAACGTTTTAATTTTTCGTAATTTTAAAATGAATTAAGGCGAAAAAAAAATTCTGGGAATCTTTACGTCAATGAGGCGATTATTTTTTTCTATAAGGAAATTTCCCAGGAAAATATGTTACAATGTTTTGATTTTGAGATTTGGCAAAAAAAACAAAACAAATGTTTGATTGAAATTAACTTAATTCTTTTAAATTATTAGAATTATCACGAAAAATATGACTTATTCGAAAAGCCATTATCATTATAATGATGAACAACATCCACTAAACATGATTAATGTAGATGATGGTATGTAAATTCGTCTGGGATTAATATTAAAGTTAATTTTTTTTCCAAATAATTATTTTCTATTTTCGTTTCGATATTCTCCAATGATTTCTATTTCGATAGAAAATTTCGTAAGAAATGTGGAAAATCAATTGGCCAATATACCTGAATTTCATAATGGTCCTCCACCCGGTAAGTTCGATTCAAAATTTTTACTAAATTAAAAAAAATTCTCAAACCAGACAAAATTTTCATTAAGTAGACAATGATGATGATGATGATGATGATCATTATGATGACGATAGTACATTGTTATGGAAACCTAATCCCGAACGAATTGATGATAATACAAGTAAATTATTTTCATTGTTTAATCATATAACTATTTAACGATTTTTTTCAATTTTTTTTTCTTCAAAGTTGATTTGTTCGTTAGTCAAGCATTCCATCATGGTATCAAAGGTGATCGTGCATTACATATATTATATTTTTGTAATTATGATTACAATTTTGCTCTCAATCTTATTCGTACTTCATTGGTTCCGATTATTTAAAAATTTTTTCGTTTTAAAACGTTTTTGTATCATATTTACATTTTTTAAAATAGAAAGCTGGAAAAATAAATACTTTTCATACTTTAAATACTTTAAGAAAGATTTTTTTTCAGTGCAAAATAATTTCTTTTTTTAATGATAAAAATGGTAATAATTCTGTTGTTACCGACAAGAATGGAATTATTGATTTAAAAAAAAAATAATTTTTTTCTAAATTAAATTAATTTTACTCTATAAATAGAAATAAATTTTTATTTAAAATTTTCAATATTTTTTGATTGATTGATTGATTATTTTACCAAATACGCAGAAGAAAAAAAAAATCTTTCGGGTAATAGAAAGACAACCGACAATAAACAACCAACAAGTTATTATTGACTAAACAAGAGAAAACCAAAAACGAAAAATGGAAGAACAAATCGAACGATTACGTAGAAATTATAATGAAGATGTACATAAATTGAAAAAACAATTTGAAGAAGAATGTCGATTATTGGATGAACATATGGAAAAAGAGATTACAATGGAAAGAAATTATATGGAAAATTGTAATGAAATTGAAATTGGTAAATTAAAAGAAGAGATGGAAAATAAAATCGAAACATTGAATAAAAATCGTTATCAATCAATAGAAAAAAATGAAGCTGATAATAGTCAAGAAATTAATGCAGCAATGGAAAAAAATCGTGAACATATTGAAAAAGAATTAGCACGTGATCGCGAATCATTTGAAATAGAATGTAGAGAACGACGACAACGTTTTGAAGAACAAATGAAATTATTGTTAGTTGTTACAGATCAGCGACGAATTGAATATCTTAAAGTAGAAAATGTACCATTTGTTAAAGCAAATGGAACAATAAAAATAACCGATGAATCATTATTGGATTCACGTTATCGTTTGAAATTTACACGTAATGCTATAAGATCAGCACAATCATGGGCAATGTATCGTGGACAATATCAGGACAAACCAATTATTTGTCGTGTAGTAGTTATATCGAAGATACCAAATGAAATTAGGTAGGAAATTGATTTTTTGTATCTTTTTTCTTAACAATCATTAATTCAACCGTTTTGCAAATTATTATTGTTTTTTTTTCTAATAGAGCAAATATGGATCATTCAACAAAATGTTACAGATACCTATGTGAAAAACAACGACAAGCCGATCATAGTTATTTTGTTGATTTATATGAAATATTTTCAACTGAACAGAAAATTTATATTGTTACAAATGAATATTCATCGAAAACAATGTTAGATGTTATACAACCGCAACGTCTACGTTCACGATCCATGACAACAAAAATAACATATAACGAAGATAATCTAAAAAGATGGTTAGGACAAATATGTGATGCATTGAATTTTATGCATACATTGGCTGTTGCACATCTAAATCTACGTTTAGATAATATTATATTTGATGAACATCAAAATATACGATTAGTTGGTTTAAGTCATTTATTTTGTTATTTTAATTTGGATCAAGAAAAATTTGTGAAAGCACCACGTGTATCACCAACAAATGTATATGATCATTTACCACCAGAATGTTTTGATGGTGATTTTGATGCTTGTCGTGCTGATGTTTGGAGTTTTGGTTTGTTAATATATGAAGCGCATACACGTTCAAATCCACGTAAACAATTATTAACAATATCAAGAGAAAAAGGACGTAGCCAAACACGAAGTATGAAAAAAGTTATTGATCGACAAAATGTTAAATTTCCACCATTTGATTTTGATAAAATTCATAATCAATCATTACGACAAGTATTAGAATTAATGTTGAGCAATTATAATCCATTTGCTCGACCAAATTTTGAACGAATTCAATCGTATGAATATTTTCATCATCAATCACAACAATAACAAATAAATAACATTGATGATTTATAATCCAAAAAAATTAAACATCACTATCACTATTTGTTTACTTTGAAATTTATACCATACAAAAAAAATTTGAATTTGTTGATTACATCCGATAAAAAAAAACAAAATCAATCTTGAAATGATTCTTCCAATGAAAAATGAACTAAATTTAATTTGAACTTGATTAAAATGTAAAAAAAAAAATTCAAAATTCAAATTTTTTTACCCACCACATATAACAAAAGCTAAATTTAAAATAAGGTTGATGACATGATTTGATGATTAAATCAATTGAAACAAGAAAAATATGAACAGAACAACAACCGACAATAGTAGAAAAAAAGTTCCGTTAATGTTCATTTCCTTCCTTGGGCTGTTTTTTATTTTTTGTTCACAATGAAATTTAAAAAGTTTTTTTTTGTTGATATTTGCCTATTGGCTAAACACTCCATTTAGTCACAATTCAATCACAATATTTACATATATTTCAATTTTCAAATGTGAATAACATTTTCGAATAAAATAAAAATAAAAAAGTTTTCGAATTTGAATCATGATTCTAATTCGAAAATATTTACCAACAACAATCATTATTATTATTGTTGTTGTTGTTATGATTATGATGATGTTTGTAATAATAACGGTTAGTTGTTCCAAAAATTCTATGACAATCAACAATAATAACAAATCATCAACAACAAATTGTATTAAACAACCAAAAATGTTAATAAATTTATCGATTATTGATAATAATATTATTAATTATGGTGAAACATTTATTGATTTGAAAGTTGGTTCAAATCTTACATTGACCTGTATATCGGATGTGATTGTATCGGAAATGTTGAATAATAATAATGATAATGATAGTATGACGGAAATAAGCTGGATTCTACCCGAATTTCATCCGGTAATGTTGAATCGAATTGAATATTCTTCTTTTTTTATATTTCTTTTTTATTATATTTTTATAGTATTATGATACAATTTTACCGGAATATATTCAAATTGAAGAAAGATTTTTCCGTAATCAAAGTGGAAAATATTTTGAAAGTCGTTTGAATGTAAATGGTGTTGAAATAAATGATGTTGGTTATTATACATGTACATATAGAAAATATATACATCTTATTCATGATGAATTAATGGCTATACATAGTTCAACAAATACTATTTATCTTTTTGTAACCGGTAATTTTATTAATATTATTTTTTTCAGGTTATTTCATAAATAAATTCTTTTTTTTTGTTTTTCATATGGGTAGATTATGAAAATTTATTTGTTAAATCAGTACCGGTTATGATGGCCATTTATGGTCGACCCGGTGAAATCAATTGTAGACCAACATCATCATTAGCAATGATTGAATTATTTTCGGTTGATGGATCAACACGTAAACATTATTCAATTTCATATAAACAAATTGATTATGAATGGACTAATTCATCATTATCATCATTTTCCACATCGATGGTCATCTATAATTCTCGTCGTGGTTTTTTATTATCAAATATAACTAATGATCATTATATTTGTCGTATACATCTTTCTAGATTTGAATCAAATCATTCCGCAATAAATATAACATCCGATGATAATATTATTATACATTATACAAGTATGTTAATCATATATATGATAATAATGATTTTAGTGATAAAATTTAAACCAAAAAATAATAATAATAATTTAATTAATAAAAAGATGGTGTTGATTATGCAACCAAACCAATTATTAATTATGATAATTTTCCATATACATTTATCGGACAATCATATCGATTAAGTTGTTTAACAGAAAAATCACATTCAAGTCAAATTTTTATTAAATGGAATTTTGTTAATCAAGCTTGTTATGAGGTATGATTATTATTATCAACATCAACATTATTATTCATTAATTATTTTTAATTAAGATGAATATTTTTTTTTTGATTATTATTAATATTATTATCATTTTTTTTCCTGCCATGAGAATAGCAAAATTTAATGAATATTAATTCATCATCATCATCATCATCATCGTTGTCGACAATGATCAAAATCAGTGATGTAGAAACTATTGTTCAAAGTAAAGGAAAAGAAAAAGTACGACAAAATATAACATTCCTGAATGTTGATCGTCGATATAATAATGCTAAAATTGAATGTATCATAACCGATGTATCATTGGCACGTAAAATTGAATCATTTACATTAAAAATCTATGGTAAATCATTTATAATAATAAAAATACATTTTTTTCATATAAAATTCTGTTTGATTTCTTAATTTATTCTTTCGTTATTTTTCAATTTATTCTTTTTATTTCAATTCAAAAAAATTCAGATGAACCATTATTGAAAATTATTCCATTATCACAACCATTTCAAATTTATCGTTGTAATTCTGAATGGCATTATGAAGTAGATATAATTGCTATACCCGATGATATTGATTTGATTCGTTTAAATTGGTACAAACCGAATGTTTTGAATCGATCAATCAATTATGGTGATACACGTATTTTTCTATCAAAACAATATTCATCAAAAATTATTGTACCCAATAATAATAATAATGAAAACATGAGTATTTTCGTTAATCCTAATCGTATGATTCGTGCAAGTATTGGTATCAAAAATTTATCACCATCTGATAGTGGTAATTATCTACTTATTGTTGATCTTATGAATGGTCTCGTTCAACAAAATCAATCAATTGAATTGAAGGTTCTTGATTGTCATATAAGTATGTAAATAACAAAAAAAACAAAATTTATCTGAAAATTCTCATTCATCATTGTATTCATTTTTTATTTATATGTTTTTTTAAAATAGGCGATTTAGATGATAATTATATCGTATATATTTTAACCATTGCTGCCATTATATTTATAATGTTATTATTTATATTTTTACTTGTAAATCGTATACGTATTGAAAAAAAAGCTAAACAAGAATTAGAAATTTTAAGCATTAATCTATTACAATCGAATGTTATTAATAATAATAATAATGAAAATAATGGTAAATCTATTGTTAAGAATTTTGATCCAAATATACCAATACATAAACAAATTGATTTAATACGATATGATCATCGTTGGGAAATACAATTAGAAAATATTGATTTTGATTATCAAACATTATTGGGACAAGGTGCATTCGGTAAAGTATATAAAGCAATTGCATATGGTTTGCATAAAAATCGTACACTTGCATATAATATGATGATCAATGGTATTGATTCGAATGATTTAGAAAATGATGATAATGAAAATTCTTGTGCAACAATTGTTGCCGTTAAAATGCTTAAAAATTCAGCAACAATGGAACAATTAAAAGCACTTTCAATTGAATTAAAAATTATGAATTTTATTGGTCATCATATTAATATTGTTAATCTATTTGGTGCTTGTACATCAAGATTAATTAAAGGTGAACTTTATGTTATAATGGAATATTGTCATTATGGAAATTTACAACATTTTTTGCAAACAAATCGTGATATTTTTATTGTTATTAATTATGATAATGATGTGGAAAATAATAATAATAATGATGATGAATACAATAATCGAATATCATTTATGTGGAATGAAAAATTTAATAATAATAATAATAATAAAGATGATGGTAAGTTAGATAAACATAGACAAATTTATATATTAAATTTCTTTGACAAATAAGCAACAAAAAAAAACTTCTTTGAAATTCCATGGAGGACAAAAAATCCATTATAATACAATGTGATATTTGTTCATGATGATTCTGATGAAAATGAAAAAAAAACATTTTTATTTATTTTTCGTTTTTTTTCCTCAATCTTTTATATAACAAAACATAATAGACAGAATTTCTTGGATTGCAAAGAAATTCAATATCAACAACAACCAGCCTCAGCAACAACAACAACAACAACAACAATCACAACAAGATTCAAATTTTCCTTGGCGACAATCATGGTTGGAAATGAAATCTTATCCAAATAATTATCTAAATAATAACAAAAATCATCATAATAATAATAATGAATGGAAAACATTATCGACAAAAGATTTACTTAGTTTTGCATATCAAACAGCAAAAGGAATGGATTATTTGACTAGTAAAAAGGTTTGTTTGTTTTTGTTACTATTTTACATAAGATTGTTGTTGTCGTTGTTGTTAGTCTATGTACACAACATCAGCATCAACAACAAAAGCAGATATTCTAATTATAACTTAAGTAATAAATGTGAAATGGATATTTTATCTGTAAATATTCTTTTAATACACCAAAAAATAAATATATATTAGGTAATCCATCGAGATTTAGCTGCACGTAATGTTCTTCTATGTCGAAATGGTATTGTAAAAATCTGTGATTTTGGTCTTGCACATGATGGTGGTAGTGATGATGATGATGATGATCATCGTGAAAGATTAGGTAAAATTGGTCAACATAATCGTAATAATGATCCTGTTGAAAAATATCAAGAACGTTTGCCAGTTAAATGGATGGTAAGTAGGTAGAATATGAATTATTCAAGCATTAGATATTGGTTGACTTTTTTTTTGTTGTTGTCCTGTTTTATCTGGTTTTGCTCTATTTTCGTTTTTTTTTTGTGTGTGATGTCATTGAATGGTCATTATTTTTCTTCATTTTCCGAAAAAAAAAATCATTCTAGGCAATCGAATCATTATTGGAAAGAAAATTCGATACAAAATCCGATGTATGGTCATTTGGTATTTTTCTTTGGGAATTATTTACACTTGGTATGGCACCATATACTGGAATAAATTTTGATGCAAAATTTTTGAATAAATTACAATCCGGTTATCGTATGAAAAAACCTAGATTAGCATCACAACCAATGTTTGTATTTGTATTTGTATTTTTTTTTTCGTAATAACCTTTTGCAAAATGAATAATTAATCCTCTTTTTCTCTCTCTCTCTCTTTATTGGATTGATTTGCAAATCTAATAGCTATGAATTAATGTTGGCTTGTTGGTCATTGGATCCGGAACATAGACCAAATTTTGAAATGTTGGCCGAATTTTTTCAACATTATTTGGATGAAAATTTTATCAAGGTTAATCAATTCTATCAATAAAAATTCTAAGAATTCTATTTTTAATGTTTTTATTTTTTTTTCCAATTCAACAACAGAATTATGATCAAATTTCTCGATTATACAGTCAAATTAACGATGAAAATGTTGATAACGATAAAGTGATTAATGATGAAAATGAAACACATTTTTATGAAGGTTTAGATCCAGCATCATCAACAAATAATGAATATTTATACATGTCTGAACAACAACAACAACAACAACAACAACAATCAAAAATCATATTGGATTGTAATTATTTACAAATGGACAAATATTTTTATAATATCGACGAACAACAACAACAAAATTTTTAATAAAATAAAATTATAATAAAAATTGGTTCATTTTTTTCAAAAAAAAACATAAAATTTATTTTTTCATTTTTGTTTATCAATCGAAATCATTGACGTAACAGCACCTTGTTTTATGGTTGATAAAGTTTTACATTTATCAATAATACAATTAGTCAATGGATGTTCAAATATACATTGTTTTGAACTGATTAGAATTTGTTTGATTATATGCAATAAATCAGTTATAGTTAATTCTTTTTTTAAAATTTTTACAATAATCAAACGTATTAATTCATGTGCAGTGAATACCATAATCAGATAGAATATAAATAAACATCTATATATACAATTAAAACGATTCCAATCAGTATATGCCATTATGCTTGTAAAATGAAACCAAATAAATGGTGATGTTATAATGATTTGTGCAAAATTATTCCAATATTTATCAACCAATGTTATCGAATATTCGGTTGGCATTATTGATAAAACTTGTTTCTTTAAAATGTCCAACATTTTTTCTTTTTCTTTACTTCTTTTTATTTGCTGTTGATGTTATACACAAGGATCAAACGGAAGGATAGGTCTTTACTTTGTCAAAAGGCAGCAGCGACGGAGAAAATTTCTTCAGAAAGATTTAAAACTTCTTTTTCACTTTAAAAAATAAAATTCTTTGGAAAGCAAAAATCACAAAGCAAAAAAATTGATAAATCAGGCAAAAAAGAAAAATAGAAAAAAAAATCTTTTAAAGCTAAATAAAAAAATAAATTGAGAAAAATATTCAACATTCAAATGAATATAAATACTGTTTTCGAATCAAATGTAAATGAATTAAATTTTTGAAACAATTAGAAATTTAATGGAATTAGAATTTTTTTCTCCCCAATGAAACAATAATATTCTAATCTGATTAACAATATGTTATTATTGAAAAAAAAACAAACACTTTATTTCTTTCATTAACGAACCAAAGAGTTTTTGCTTTTACTAAATCCCATCTTCTGATTTTTATCACTTTAGAATTTAGTAAAGCAAAACTTTAAATCATCGGAAAAAGAATTCATAGTTTCTTTTTTTTCAAAAAATCATACCAAAAAAAACGAGAACAAAATCACAAATTCAAATTACGAGTGTTTTATTACATTCTTCGCTTTTCTTTTTCGCCCACATTTTTATCATTTTTTGATTGAATTCTTGGGTTGGTTGATAGACAATAATCATTATTATAAAAATGATGTTGACGGAAATTCAAACCTTTAGGTTTTATTATTTTTTTTTTTTTTTTTTGTAAAAAAAACACCGAATGTATTTGCTTGTCATTCTTTTTTTAGTTCCAATTCCGGGAAAATTTTTTTTAA